TCTGGGAGACATACAATGTATTAACAATCATACCAACCATGTAATATTGGTTTTTTGTAAATAGGTTTTTTTTTTTTGTGTAATTTGCTCCAGGGAGGAAAAAATCGCTAATTTTTTTAATAATATCAAACATATAGCATCTTTTTTTGCTCTTTACCTTTTGTTTAATAAATAAGCTTTACAAATAAGTCAAATTTGTTTTGCTTCTAACTCTTCCTTTGCCTGATTTTGCATTATCCTTAATTTATGGACATGAGTGTATTTTTAAAGTTTCAAGAAATCGCACTTGTTTAAAAAATTGATCAGTAGAAGGCAAATAAATGAAGGCTAAATATTTTTAAAAATTGGTTATAAAATTTTAGGGTGCTATAATAACTGTAACTTATATTGTTTGCTTGATCGGCAAACAGTGTTTTATACGTTTGTTATGCTTTTTATTATAACTGAAATCGGAAGGAGATTTAATGCAACAAAAAGTAATTAACCGAAGCGTATGTCAAATATGATTTTCCCTAGCTTTTCCAAAATTTTCTTTTAACTGGCAGGTAATCAAATTAAATTTCCATAAGCTAAATTTTCAGGACAACGAGGAGAAAAGATACAGGTATTTTACCCCAAATGGGTGATTATATTTTCTACACCTCTAAACGCTAGGGGGGAACACCTTCTTTCTCCCCCATCCCTCAAGTTCAGATTTTCTTTCTGTCCTAATAGGTTTTATGCCTTTTTTGTCCTTAGTTCTCATATCACACAGCAGACTTTATAACAAAGAACAAAGCCCTTGAGCTTTACGTGAAATATTTGCTAACCAAAGGAAATTGTACCAAATCTGAAGTATTTTCGCTAACTTTAAAAAATAATTTTTGATAAAAAAATTCATAAATTTGTGCCAATTTTTTAAAAATTGTTATATTTGTTTTATATAATTAGACGACCTAGGGGTATACGCACCTGGCTACACTCCTGAATTAAAATAGACACTGTTTTAAAAATGCGAGAAAGAACATATGTTGATTGTGAAAACCAACATTAAAATCTGTACTAAGTATTTCATTGTTTACGGATAAGAAACCTTCCCAGGTTCAGATAACTGAATTCCAAGACTTACAAGGGATGATTTCTAATATCCAAGAGAAGAAAGCAGTCTCCTTATTTTTCTCTAAGCATTTTAAGCCTAAAACTGCAGTAACTAAATAACTAAACAACTGCACTAACCAAATAACTGCACAAAATAACTAAATAACCGAACTTCCCGAATAATGCAATGAGAAGCTTGAAGATATAAAATAAACAACTGGCATTTATCATTTTGTGCCTGTAATTCTTAATTTTTTTGCTCCAAGAAGTATTATGACTACAAGGTGATCAATATATCTTATCATGTATAGTGGTTAGAGACGGTGGCTTTGCAAATGCGGTCAAGAGTAAGAGACTGACTTTAATTACGGAAGAGGAAGGTAAACGGCTGTGTCAAGGATCATAAGGGGAGATATATTTTAAAAGAAAAGTGTTTTTAGGTCTCTTTCGGTATCAGTATATCACGAATATATATCGCTCGCTGGAGATAAATTTTTTTTTCCCGTACAGTGTTGCCATTGCTCGCTTTGAAATCGCTGAGTTTGTTAATAAAAAATTCGTTGAAGTGTTATAAAATATGAAATCGATAATAAACAAATTTTAAATTCAAATTAGGGCTTCCACACGCAGATATTCTATGGAAATTTACGTTATTCAAATTTTGATGGCTCTAGGTACCGTCGTTTTATCATAAGCGAGAAACATACATACATTCATGCAGACTCTTCATTATTTAATTTCTTTAAATGTAATACAGGGCGACAATATTTGGTGGCAACAATTTGAAAAGTGATTCTCCGTTTATAGTTTTCAACGCAAAATGCCAAAATGAAATTAATAATCCTTCTGGGCAAGTTGCCCCTTTGGACTAATAATGTATTCTGAGAGCGATGGGCTGATGCCTAGCAGTAAGGGTTTGGAATCAAGAATATATTTCGCAGAACCATTATATTACTTGCAAGTATTTCCTTAACTGATATCGTTAAATTTTGAAATTTCATATAAATTAGAAAAGGGATATAAAAATTAGGAAATATTTTATTTTTAAATAAACATTGAATTTATGTGTAGATAGCTGCAAATATTTCCCTCAGTTGTTGTCGCAGAGCTGTAATTTTATTTAATTAGGTAATTCCACTGGTTAAGTAATGGAAAATTGAGAAATTTTTGAGATCGAGGAGGAAAACGCTTTTTTCTGGGACGAAGAAGGGGCTATACCAGAAGCGAAGCAATAACACAGATAACTAGCATGTAACTAAATAAAATATTATATTTTTTTTTAAATTACAAATTTACATTTATAATCAAATTCAAGAAATGCATACAAAAGTATTGATGTCAAGATTACTGTTTAATTTGACGGTATTTTTAGACATTATGTTGTACATAAAACGGCTTTTCTTCGTTAAGAAGTTCGCTTTTAAAAAGGTACCATTTTTCATCGAAATTGTCGGCACTGATACGAAATGAAGGGCGATTTATACAATACCTCAATTGCCTGGCCTGTAGGACGCGCAGTGATTTATCAGGTTAAAACTTGGGAAAAATACTTCGACAGAAAAGGATTAAGTACCTATTTTAATGATAACACTTTATACAACGGAAACGGAACTGTTGCATTAAAAAATTAGCAATACATCAGCGTTTCTTTAGAATCCCAGAATTCGTCATCACTGTTGCTAAAATCATAGTTATTTTCACTTAGGTTGTCACTGTAACTAGATTTGCAACTTTCCTAAAACACAATGTCATCCTTATTTCCAACTAGTGCACTGTTAATTCCACAATTTTTTAAAAGATTTATTGTAGGATAAAATTGGATAATAGGATAAATGTATTTTTCAGTATTAACTTCATTCTGAAGAATTTTCTGCAGTCTAGTTTGCGTTATTTTATTCATAAGTCTCAAATTAAAAACAATTTAATGTTTATATGTCATTAGAAAATTAACCAAAAAGCATTGACCACAATGTAATTGAAAAACAGTCCTTAGACGTAGAAAGGTTGAAGGCCATTTGGGTTAAGACTATTTTCTCAGATACTGAGCTACTTCGCATACATGGAACATAGCATTCGAAATGAAAAATACAATATTTACTACAAATAGCAAATATCTGTCTTTCTAGCTTTCTACTCCTACTTTAAAAAGAGATGTTATTTGCCTTACAGTTTATAGTTCAATAATACATTTTCATTGTACAAAATTGCATTCATTCGAAGAATTCAATTTGTATTTTCCTCTGTATAAAAACTGAACGTAGAGAAGTTAGATGTTTAAACGACCCCCACATTTTCTCAAGACCACGAGCAAGATTATCCCCTCCTTTTCAGCACCCCCTGTGAACAAAGGGGTTCTAAATTTACGACTTGACCGCATATAGGGTGATTTCGTTAGGGACACTGATTGCCGTAGCGATTGGGCCTGGGTTCGAATGTCGGAGAAGGCACGGTTGTAACTGTCCATTCTTCATAGGAGACAACGGTGGCCACCCGTTAATTGCTTCCATAATGAAATGGTCACCACTTCCGGCCCTTATAGTAGCGCAAGCTTAATAGTTATTAAATAAGGCACCCAGATATTATATATATATATATATATATGTAAGATAAAAAAATATATAAATCAAAATTATAATTTAAACTAACGGTCAAACACTAATTTTCTTTCTCTGTTTTACAAATCGTAATAACTTATTGGGATATATCATTTCTAGATCATTCTATGGCCTGCGCAGCTCTGATGACGTAATAATTGTGAACTGAAACTTTTAACTCAACCCAAAACCTTTCTCGTCGTGTGTTCCCACCTTGCATACCTACGCACTTCAGCTTCTGTCTCTGTTTTGCTTGGACGTAATTTTGCTATGCTACTTCCTTTGCAATAATGTCAAAAATGTAAATGTTCTTGAATGGACGCAACTCGAGTGCCAAGTGAATTGTGGCCACAAATATCAACCGGAAAATAAAAATGGAATTAAAACTGCCTCAACTGCCAATATTTTTAAATCTTACAAAGTCAACATATTAGCATACTACGCAATCAGAATTCTTCCTCTTCAGTATAGATCTAAGCACGCATCAACACTGTTCAGTCTCTATCTTGTGGTACTGTTTCATAACAAATATTTCACAAAGACGAGAAATTGAAATTCATAATTAATAAATTTCAAATAATCGTATAATGCAACAAAGAATTTGAAAACGTTAAAACCAAAACATTTCAAACAAGCAAAGCCCCATTTAATAAATTAAAGAAATTTAAAGAAAAATGAACAACAACAACAACAACAACAACAACAAAAAAAAAAAAAAAAAAAAAAAAAAAAAAAAGGAATTCAACCAACTTTAATGCCACTTCATCAGGGGGGGACATTGAAATTAACTGAAATCTCTCTTCTACAAAAGTCCTTGCTTTTCCGTATCCAGAATTAGTCGATGAACCATTTCAATGTATTTTAATTATAATAGTTCACTCGAAAATTCCAACTCTTTGGAAAATTCTGGCCCTTCCCCAAGCAAAGAAAAACAAAGTAAATTCTAATTATAATAATAAGAATAATCTGAAATAAAGAGAATTCTATTTTATAAAAAGAATTGAAAACGAAAGTGAAAAAACAAAATACTTCAGTGAAAATTTTTAAATTAAAACGTTTACCTTTAAACAGATAATCCAATGAATTAAGATGTGAGTCGTGCCTATTAAAGAACATTTACATTTTTTATAACTTTTACTAACCACATGAAACTAACCAAGGAGGTTAGAATCTAACCTATTCTAAGGTTAAGTAAGGAGGTTAGAATAGGTTAGATTCTAACCTCCTTGAAACTAACCACAAAAAACATTTTGGTCTAGCCTCAAATTTTTGGTATCCTAAAAAAGACTTTAACTTCTACTTTTGGAACCTGTCAAAATGTTTTTCAGGGTGGGAGATGTGAGAATGTGTGTAGCATACGCATTTTTTCGCATGTTTGTTCTTGTTTACGTTTAGAAAGAAAATACTTGCTTATAATGTTTCAGGATGAAATTATTTTATGAATGTAAATATTTATTTTTTGCTGTGCATCTCAACGACTAAATATGAAAGTAAGTAAACAAAATTTAATAATGATTTTTGAAATGTTTTTTTTACTGTGTTTAAAAATGTATTTTTTTGTTGGTTTCTCTCTGTTGCTGTTATGCGAGTATCAGAAAAAGTTAATTTTGCGGTCTGATCGATATGAATTTGCAGCGCTGTAATTAGAAGTGGTGGGGAAAAAACTCTCATGTTTTACCAGCGTGTGTGCTAAGATCCTATGTCTTTCAATAAATCTTAAGAAACTTTTCTCTCTTCATGCTTTTGAAAGACTGAAGTTGTTTCAATATTAATTACATATCGGTAAACAATCTGTTAAAATTATTTGAAAATGAAAGCCATTATATCTCTTATTAGAATTGTTATTAAATATTTGTTTCTGGAACAGTATTTACATTTTTCCATGTAATCCTTAGTTATTCGTAAGTAGATACATTTTCCAGTGGGAAGAATTTAGTTAAAAAAATATTCACATGATTCTTTTTCAGAATCTGATTTAATGTGTGAAACCTGAATACAAGGGGTGGCATTTTTAAAAAAAATATCTGTTATCAGTTTTGTTGAGGTGCATATCAAGGATAACCACTTTCACATGTATACTTGATATCACAGAACAAAACAGTAAATATTATTTTAGATCGTTGCTATTTTTTTTTTAATTTAAATTATTTCAACATTCATTTAAAGGTTTGAATTTTTCATCTCATTCAATCTCATATTGACCAGTAGATTGCTTTGTATTATGTAACATTATAATGTAATCAGGCATAAATAAGACAGATTTCTTTTTTTACATAAATCAGAAACATGAGAACTTCGGTTTAATCCCAGTATCCGGTGCACACGGGATTTGGCGACTTTTATGATGAGCAGTAAAAACGGGACATATACAATGAGTAGTAAATGAGTATTCAAAGAATATATATTGTGATAGTGTATAGTATATACATAGACGTTCTTTGGGTCATTTTTGGTGTTGGCGATAATCATCAAAATCGCACCAAGGCTGCACCATATACTAGGATTTTACCAGAACTTCTTTGTATCATTATTTTTTGATGGGAAAAATTTTCTTTATCCATTGAATTTAAATTCCAAGTCATTAAAATTATATTACAGATTTAAATATGGCCTATTATTTATTATAAAAAGTCGTTTAACATTGAAAAAGGATCTAGATTTTCTGTTAATGGGGCAATTTTTCTAATGATTGACATTAATATTAACTAGATTGAAAGTTACATATATTGTTTTTTTAAATATAATTATATTCATTTGAGATGATCTTTTAACTCGAGTAAAATTCAGCATTAGGATGATCAGTGACACAATTTTCTTTAGAATTCAATTGCAGGCTCAAAATTTGGGTACTGTTCTGTTATCAGGGGACCAGTTCAGAAATGTACATATGCACGTCTGTGTTCATGTATGTATGTATATATGTAAGTACAAATGCATGCCTGTATATATATATACACACATATATGCACATACATACAAACACACGTTCATACATTTCTGAATTCGGTCCCGATAACAGAAACTGAACCAGAATTTGAATTGTAAAAAATGTCATTCCTTAAAAATATAAATATTTTAAACAATTTTCAACTAACTCTTTGAATAGCATGACTTATTACTGCATGCTAACAATTGTATGGTTGAATTAAAGGCTTATTTAGTTAAAGAATGTGTTTCTAAAGGCTGTGGTATTAAAATATATCAAATGTTCACTTATCTATTAAATTTAATGACTGAGTGTTTACGGATGGCTGAAGGCAAGCCAAACTTTATAAAAATGTAGAGAAGAAACTTATGAAAATAGTTCAGATGAGCAACAAAGAAACGTAGCCAACAAGGCAGCAAAAACAGTGTAAAAAACAGCAAGATCCAATTCTTGATCAATCTTGTACAGAAGAAAAACTGAAGAAGAGCATTTAGTTATACTATACTCAAAGAATCCAAAAGAAATTTCAGAACAAGAGAATTATTCTCTTGTTCGAAACTTCAATCAATATTTCAAACACTTAGTTCGAAATATTGATTGGACATACAACAGGTAAGGAAACCACATCAAAAGATGCAATCGATATCCATCTTCCTATTTCATGACTTATAATCAAGAATAACATTTTTAACCAAGTTTTAGTAAGATGGCAAAGATTAGATAAGGCAGGTACAGGGAAGTTAATTCATGAATACTTCCCACAAGTATCACTAAAAAGAATAAAAATAAATTTTATGATAGTACAATTAGCACCAAATCATATTAAGTTTCCATCTTATTTCCAGCAATTTTTGAGAAAAAATTTAAAATGTGGGTGCGAAACACCAGCACATCTAGCACAAGTCAAGCATTATATTTGGCATTGTCTATTTCTTTCAATCTTTAAAGCAAAGCTCTTACCATAATTTGGAAGGGGAGGGGAATCGTCCAGTTAAAGATTCGTTGTATATATGTATTCGTTGTATATACAAAGTGTGTGTTTGCACTTCAATAAATTATGAAATATATTATTGTAAACAAAGACATGATACTTAAAAGTAATTAATCATATTATATGAATAAATTAGTAAGTACTATTTAAGAGCAACTGAAAATTATTATGAGTCCTGTAAAGAAGAGTAATAGAAGAGTATATTAACCATTTGAACCCCAAGGGGTATTGAAAAAACACTGTCGAAGAATCCCAAACAGTGCAACTGCGCTTTCTCTAAATCAGTACAAAAAGACCCAAGAAGCATAACAGTGCTTGTTTTATTTTATGTCGAAAAATACCAACAATAAAAAGTAAACTAAGCAGCGTGACAGCGCTTTGTTTATTTTACATCGATGGGCATTTGATTTAAATCAAGTATCCACATTATCAATATCAAGTGCACCGTCAGTTGTCCACAATGTTCAAAATGTACTGGGTTTTCTCAACATAAAATCTTAACAGCACGATTGTGCTGCTTGGGACTCAAACTGTTAAGTCTTCTTTCCATCTGTATATCTTGTGTATGTTTTCCTTCCTTACCCTACTATTGTGTATTGCGTTACATATTTGGTAAAAATATATTTAAGGATGCCCCTTGGCGAAAACTGGCCAGCATGGCACAATTTCAAGATGGCCGCTGCACAAAACCAAAATAACAAGTCAAAGAATTATACAAACTCAGTGTCCATGTACACATGGATCTATTCTCACTTAAAAAAAAATCAGAGAATTGCACAAACTCAGCATTGCTGAATGACTTGAATGTACGCATTGATCTATTTTATTTTCACTTAAAAATCGAATGAGCACCCAATTCTACATTAGAGCTAAGCAAAACATATATAATTTCAGTAAACTGCATTTTAAATCAAACAATGAAGTAACCCCAAAAAAGTACTAGCACCACACAAAGGAAATATCCATTTACCTTGTTTAGAAATTTCTGTGTCTTCAGTCTGTGGCACAAAAAATTTCTTAACAACATCCGAAACCTTTCTTCAAACAATGTTCCCTTTTTAATGGAACATATTATATCGTGAGCATTTGAACCTTTCTTGCGACAAACCCATTAATGAGCAATCTGAATGATCTTTACGTTCAACCATATGCATTTCCTTCATATAAACAGGACACTTAAAATTCCATTGAATTACATCCAGCAAAGTTTCTTTTCCTCAGTGTCCTCAACCACTTAAAAAAAAAAAAAAAAATCTGCTCTCTCGTTCTATACCACCAAACACCCAGTTTACCACCAGCAGCCATTTTACGATGCAAAGCACACACTACGCAACACAGAAATAAGCCCTTATGAATATTTTCCCATCAGTCAAATTATTATGAATATTTTCCCATCAGTCAAAGTCACCACAATTTTGCAACCAGTCACATCATAATAGGGTTTCCATAACACTGAACTAGTCAGGTTATCATAAATGAGAAACTTGGCAATAATCCAAGGGAAACCCTAAAATATAGGCTAACCACATATTTAAACAAAGAACCAGTGGGTTTTCTTGACGAAGTTAACAAATTTTCCAGCTGAAAGCGGTTAGTCTGTATGCCTTCTACCTTATGCTTGCATATACTGAGTGGATGGCTGGTAATTTTTTTGGCAGTTTTGGCAGACAGGTTCAAAATTGCCTACCCACAGTGTTCTTGAATAAAAGGTACAGGAATTGGAAAATATAGATATTTAGATGACTACTTATATCCAGTCCTGAGAATTTTTGCAACTGTATATTTTTCTACCATTTTATATTAGTTTATTCAGTCACTTTTTTCCCCTGCCAGTTTACTAACTTTACATATTAAGAATCAAAAAAGTGTAAAATTGTGTAGTAGTATATAATATTTTTGAAGGAAGAAGGTAATGGAAAAGTTTAGCAGATTAAAACCTGCATATGAATATATGGATTAATATTAATGCATTTTATACTACAAAGTCATTTACAGTTTTTGTTCTCAATACTAATTATTTTACTTGCATATTATATATTACTTGCACTCGTATTTTATGTATTGCTGGCAGAAATAAAAAATTTTAAATTATATGCTGAAAAAACTAGCATAAAAAATATATGAACAAGTATCATAAATTCTGAAGAACTAAATAAAAATGTTAATGAAGATACTGTATAAAAAGGTTAGGTAGAGATATAAGCTGTATTATAGCTTTTGACCAAGTGATTCTTTGTTTCACTTATTCTTCTTTACGAGTGTAATGCCATTATTTTAACTGCACTGAAGGGATTCAGAAAATTACAACCCAAGACTTAACTATATTTCAAAAGATGAATTCTGTGAAACAAATAAACAGTTGTATGAATGTAACAAGTATTGTATAGACTTATGGAGTTTATATCTTGAAGACTAAGAAACAGGAAAATGTAATGATTAGCTTTTAATTATATATATGAATTTACTTCTGAAAGTTTGTATATATTGATTTTGTTTACACAATGAACCTATTATGAAACCTTGATAAGGTGACATGTCCAGAGTAAGGAATTAATGATACACTATCTGTGAAT